CTGGACACTGGGGGGAGACCTGGGAGGGGCACCTGACTCCTTGTCACTGCCCTGCAGTGAGCTCCTCCCCTAAAGCAAGAGCAGGTTGAGGCCACCTTGGACTCGGAGAGTGGAACAGCGGAGAAAGGTCCTTGCGGTCCCTTCTGACGGGCTCTCCTCCATGACCCCCTACAGGTGATCTCCTGCCCTCTGGCTTGGACATGCCCCCCCCATGACATCATCCATCCTGAGCTAATATGACCATTAGCCAGTTCTTGGTTTGCTCTGTGTCTTCCACGGTTGTGTCTCTGGGCTGTAGTTCCCAGGAGGAAGGAGCCCATGGCTGTCTTCATGAGCTGTCCCCAGGTGACCAGAATAGTGCCAGCGCCCAGCTGGCATGCAGTACATCTTTGTTGAATGGATGGGATGAGCGAGTGGGTGGTTCTGATTGAGCCTCGGGTTACGCAGAACCAGCACAGCTGTCTCTACACAGCCTGCTACTCATCAGGTACTGGACGTCTCCTGCCCCCTCGTCACCCTCCAGCTGAGCCTGCCCAGGCCCAGCCGTCCTCATGTGACCTGACGTCAGGCCTCACCAGCTTCTCCCCTCTGCGTCCTCCCTGGCTCCTCACTTCTCCTCACCTCCTGGAGTGTGACTTTCAGTGTGGAATGCAGGTAGATGTGGTAGGGCAGAGAACTAGGAGGATCAGCCTTGCCCTCAAGGGACTGCTGGCCCTGCTCCGGGATGGACCCTGACACATCTGCTGGGGGAGCCCAGCATGTCTGGGGATCACTCAGTGCTCTGTCCCATCTCCACGTCCCTTTGTGCCTCCAAGCTGGGCACGAGTTGGTGTGGTGTGGGCAACGGAGTACCAGGCACTAATGTGCGCTCAGCCACTCCCCCTGCTGCGCCTTGGGCGGTGTCTGTCGCTCAGAGCCTGTCATCCTTATTTCACCTTGATTTATGACCAGACCTGATGAGTTTTTGGAGCAGCTGTCTCCTAGGGACAGTGTGATCAATCTAGGAGATAGCTGAGCCCTGCTTCTCCCACAACCAGGGGAGGGAGGCGACAGGGAAAGGGATAAGGTGCTAGGGGTAGTGGGGTTAGGCCCGTGCCCCTGTGTCAGGACCCCTGCAGGTCCACAGCTCCCGCCCTCTCCCTTCCTGTCCCTTTTCTCTCTCCATCCAGCAGAATCCGGGGTAAGGGTGAGGGTGTACAGGCTTCCTTGGAACGTGCCTGTTTGGAGGTCAGGCCAGAGCACCTCCTGTCCTCTCCACACCCCAGGGACAGCCAGTGCTGCTTGCCGTGTGCCTTTGTGGGGAAGCCGAAGGGTCTGCCTCTGCTCGGTTGGCTGGGGTCACTCTGAGTCCTCACCAGCCTTTCTACCCGACGCAGAGCAGATGTTGTGGCCTTATTCTCCTAAACCCGCCCTCTCTGCCGAGCCTGTCCCCTCCAAGTCCTTATCCCAGTTCCTCCAGTCCATAAAGTGGACATTTTTCAACAACCCTGGAATTACTCCAACAATTCTTTTTGCTCCTGGATGGTTGCAGGCATCAAGCCTGCAAGGGAAGATTTTGGAAATAGACTTTTTGATGAGAACTGAGAGAACCCATTGGGAGCCTAATCTAGGTAGTAGCATTAATCAAAAGATTGTAAGATAAACCGGGCATGGTGGCTCACGCTTATAATCCCAGCACTCAGGAGGCTGAGGCAGGAAGATCTCTATGAGTTCGAGACCAGCCTGGGCTACATAGTGAGTTCCAGGTCCGTCTCAACTACATAGCGAGACCCTGTCTCAAAGCAAAAACCAAACAGATTGTCAGATACTTTTTTTTTTTTTTTTTGAGAGTCTCCTTGTATAGCCCTGGCTGGCCTCAAACTTGTGGTCCTCCTGCCCTGGCTTCCCAAGTGCTGTGATTACAGATGTGCCACCACCACAGCTGAAGTGTATCTTAGCACCCGTAGCTATGGCCTTGTAGGCCATCCTAAAAGTTCTAGAAGATAGCCTGTTGGGGAAGGAATTGGCAAGGAGACTCACATAGAGACTAGCTGAATGGAAGTAAAATAATAAAAAGTTTATTTTGCCAGCAAAGGTCAAAAAGGCAGTGCCAGTGATCAGCCTCAAATTGGGTTGCAGCTTCCTCTTTTATAGGTTTTACAATTATGTTCTCATTCAGGTGGTTACATTTCATCTCCTCAGTTCACATTACCCATGTACAAATTACAGTAACCAGACAGTTCACTTTAACCCAGACGTAACAATTCCTTGTAGTCAGGGAGTGTACCGTAAGATTCTTCTAGCTCTCTACTCTAGTGCACAGGATGGGGGTGTTCAGGGTTAGGGATGAGGCCGGATGTCCCACTTCATGGTCAGTGCTTCCAGTGTCTGGTTTTTTTGTTTTTTGGTTTTTGGTTTTTTGTTTTTTTTTTTTGGTACTGGAGATTGAACTCGGGTCTTTGCGCTTGCAAGGCAGGCCACCGAACCGCTGAGCTAAATCCCCAGCCCCTCAGTGTCTGTTAATTTTGAACTAAATGAAGCAGATTGCTGTTAGAGACAGCAGAAAACATAAAAATCCCCACCCTCAGTGTCTGTTAATTTTGAACTAAATGAAGCAGATTGCTGTTAGAGACAGCAGAAGTCATTGTACATTTTCCTAACATTTTGTAAGTTTTTAGATGATTTATAAAAGTTCTCTGTATCAATCCCACATCATCACTGACATAAACGACGCAGCCCCCTACAGCAGCTATTTTGGAGGACCCCTGCTTTCTGTTGGGGGCTGCATAGGCTGTGTGTTTTATAAAGCCAGTTTCATTGCTCTGGAAGCTTACTTCCTAACTTGGCAATAAAAAACACCCCAGTCAGGGCTGTCCAGAAAGCCTCCCTGAACAAGCAAGTCAGTTTCCACCTGTATCTCCTCCAACTTCTCGGAGATTTAGGGCTGAGGAGGAAGGTAGACAGAGAAGCACTAGCTGGCATCCTGGCTGAACGCTGTAATGGAGGTGTGAGCATCTGGACAGCCAGCTCCTCCCTGCCTTCTTGCTCACAGGACCCAGAGGTCAAGCAGCAGAGAGACAGCTCGAGGATTTCCCCGCTGGTCTCTTCCCAAATCTGTGTCGGCTTTGCCAAGGTCCTGCAGCAGGGCCATGAGTGGTAGGGGCAGAGCAGCGTATGAATCTTGCCTTCCAGCAGCTGCCCCCTTAGCCTGGGCTGAGTGCCCTACCTACAGTGACACTACTGCCTGCTTCAGCCTCCAAGATATCTGGCAACCTGGTAGCCCTGGCCCCGCTCAGTGGCTTTGTAACCCCTCCTGGCACCCAAGACTCCCCTCCCAGTTAGCCTTTGCCCATTTTCCCACATCTTGCAGGCCAGGTCTTCCTCACAGACCTCTGCCAAGCACAGCCCTCCTGCAGCCTCCCCAGGAATCTCTGGGATGAGCCACACTGCCCAGGGCCTAGGCTAAGACTCAAGGACCTGGGTCGCTGCTTCCCCTTGACTAGCCAGGAAGATTTGTGACGCCCTGGAGCGACAGGAGTGGTGGGATGGAGCGGGCCGTGAAGGGTGCAAACAAATCATCTTTTTTATTGGCAATTTTCACAGGGCTGTTCCCTCGCTCCCCTCCTATCCCAGACCGTGGCAGGCAGTTCTGATTAAAAGTAATACATGATTCTGCCCTGTTCTCCATTGTCATTGTGGGACAATATCAGCCTGGCTTCCTGTGGGTCCTAGCAGAATGACCTCTTCCTGCTATGTTGGGGCCTAAAGGAGACAGAGGAGGTCCCCCGCCTCCCCCCTGTGGGGGGGAGCCCTGAGTCTCTGCTGCTGGGGCTGTCAGGAGCTGCATGCTGGGCTCTGCTGACCAAGAAGTGTCACATCTTCCCATGGCTTTATCTCAGGGACTAGGGCACAGGCTGGAGGGGCTGTGAGATCTCCTCTGAACAGAGACAGCAGGGGTTTGTAAACTCCAGAATGGAGACAGGACACCAGTGGTCTCTGTGTGTGCTGAGTAGCTAACAGTGACAGTTCCGGGTAAGCAAGGTAGCAGATACAGAGGCCAGAGAGCCACAGATGGTCTAGAAGTCCCACCTCCTCCGACTGCAAGGGACTCTTGTCCATAGGACTCAGCTCCTCCTGAACTCCGCTTGGTGCACGCAGCCTGCTGTTTCACTCAGCCACCTTCGGGGAGCACATCCTGGAGGACAGCCTGGCGGGCTGGTATCCAGGTGGCGGGCCCAAGAAGAAGGCTGTTCTACGAGCCAGCCCCATCTCTATCCACAGCGGAAGCCTGCCTGCTCTGAGTAATGTCACAGGCCCTCTTCTGCTTCTGCAACAAATCCTGTGTCTCCTAACTTCCATCGGGCCCAGGAGAACAGAACCAGGTGCCATTAGCCTCCAGCCTTGGTGGCAGCAGCTCAGGACTCCACAGTCCTCAGCGCTGCCCCTCGGCACCATTTCTTCCCCGGAGTGGCCAGTGGCCACTTCCTGCCTGCTACAGTCCTGGGCATGCTCCTCTGCACAGCATTCCTGCCTTTTTGCCTTCAGCAGATCTAGCACATGCTCTCGGCCCAGGAGGACACCTCCTTCCAAGTGCTCTGTGCTTTTCTGCCCTCTGCCGCCCACCAGCACCCAAACATCTTTTAAACCAAGGGACGGGGGGGAGCATTCATGCAGACCCAGGAGCTGGCAGAGCCTTCAAGAGAGCCCCTGGGGCTGGGGATGGGGAGCTGGTAGTGCTGGCTAGGGCTGGTTCACCCTGCAGATCACCCCAGCACCTCCCTGCTCTGGAACATGCCCAGACTCCGCCTCCACGGAAGGAGGGCGAGTCGGACACGGAGAGGGATGCATGGGACCTTTGTTAAGTTCAGCAGCCATTGTTGAGCTGCCCAAGAACATGGCTTTGGGAATGCACAAAACTACATGTAAAGATTCTTTCTCACATGGCTCCTGGCCCCCCACACTGGAAACTGAGACTGGGTGATTCCGTCCCCACTGGCTGACTGCCCTGTCTTGTTTTCCAGCTTTCGCCATCATGATCGTACTGGCCCTGGTCCGAATTGGGAAGGGCCAAGGTGAGGGGCACCCGGCCCTGGCCGACTTCTCAGGGGTCCGGAACCTGTTTGGGGTGTGCGTCTACTCCTTTATGTGCCAGCACTCCCTGCCATCCCTTGTCACCCCCATCTCCTCCAAGCGCCACCTCACGCGCCTGGTGTTTCTGGACTACGTGCTGATCCTGGCCTTCTACGGCCTCCTGTCCTTCACTGCCATCTTCTGCTTCCGTGGTGACAGCCTCATGGACATGTACACGCTCAACTTTGCTCAGTGTGATGTCGTAGGCCTGGCTGCCGTCCGCTTCTTCCTGGGCCTCTTCCCTGTCTTCACCATCAGCACCAACTTCCCCATCATCGCCGTGACCCTGCGCAACAACTGGAAGACGCTTTTCCACCGCGAGGGCGGCACGTACCCATGGGTGGTGGACCGCGTGGTGTTCCCCACCATCACCCTGGTGCCCCCTGTGCTGGTGGCCTTCTGCACCCATGACCTGGAGTCCCTGGTGGGCATCACAGGAGCCTACGCGGGTACGGGTATCCAGTACGTCATCCCTGCCTTCCTGGTGTACCTCTGCCGCAAGGACACTCAGCTGGCCTTCGGCTACGGGACCGTCAACAAGCACAGGTCCCCATTCCGCCACACATTCTGGGTGGGCTTCGTGCTGCTCTGGGCTTTCTCCTGCTTCTTCTTCGTCACAGCCAACATCGTCCTCAGCGAGACCAAGCTCTGATGGCAGGACAGGCCTGGCGATGAGAGGGCTGGGGGCAAGATTTAGTTGCCAAGAGGCCTTCATGGGCAGGCGAGGCAGGGACTCTCAAGGGCCCTCCTCAGCTGGGGCTCTCCGCCAGGACTCCGCCTGATCTGCACCTGGCCTTGCCCGCTGGGGTAGCATGTGGCTGCTCCCGGAATCGCAAAGGTACCCCCACCCCATGGTACTCTCTGCCCCTACCCCTGGAGGCAGGCTCCTCTGTGGTGGGAGAAGCAGTGCTGGTACTGCCGCTATTTATACCTCCTCCCTCCGCAGCCCCTCCTGCACCCTTGCCTGTCCACTAGCATCTGCTGCCTCTTCAGGGGCCAATCCCAGGCCATAGCCATCCTAACTCAGCCTGCCTGTGACAGGCAGGGCCCACCTTCCTGCCGGGCCTAGGGATAAGCCTGGCTAGCCCCAGTGACAAGAAGAAGTGGTGTTCATTGGCGTCAGGGTCCCCAGACCTGAGCTGTGAGGGCCCTTGCTGTGGGTGCCAGCTCTGGGCGGCAGAAGATGGAACATGCCTTCCGCAGGGCACACAGCAGCCCAGCTCACCGCCATGCTCTACTGTAACACTAAGGTGGCCCCCTTGGAGTCCGGCTGTGAGTGCTCGGTGGTCACTCTGTTCCTGGATGCTGTGGGCTGGATAGAGCACCTGCCACCACTTCCACGGCAGGAGGCCAGGCTCCCAGTCCCCTCTTACTCTCAGTCACGCGTGCACCCGCTGGGCCAGCCACTTTGGAAAGCGACTCCAGCGAACTGCATTTTCCACGTGCCTTCTGCTCCAGGCCTGGCGGTCTTCCTGACCCTGGCTTTCCCCAGCACTGGGCCTGATCCCGTCCGTCCTGGAGCCCAGAGCAGCTTGTCTCAGAGCTGCTTCTGGGGAACCTGGGGGCGCCAGCCCCTGCCCCTCCCTCTTGATTTCAGTGCCTTGCTCACCGCCCCCTCCCTTCTGTGTCTCGCCATCTTTAAAGTTTGGGCAGTGTGATGATGCTGGGTGTCGTAGGGTCCTGGGCAATGTGCAGGAGTTACAGAGAATGGGGTGCTGCACTCCTCCATCTCTGGCCTGGCATCCCCGCCTCTGAGAGTCCCGGGTCACAGTTGGCCTCAGTCTGCTTTGTCACCACTGTTGCCTACCTGTAGTTCTCGCAGCTTTCCTCACATGTCATCAGCTTGTGAAAAGAAACGCCCCTTCTGTGTCTGCCATGGTGGCACCTTCCCAGGAGGCCTTGCCCCGGAGTGTACCAAGAGGCCAGCACCATGGCAGCGAAGCCAGGAATGACAAAGACCTGTGGGTCGCCCTGTGCTTGGGCTTTCCCTGAAGCTTCCCCGGCTGTTTTCTGAGAACTCAATTAAAACACCTGTACTTACCCTTCTCCAATTATACTCCCTCTTGGTTAAGGACAAAGCAAATTAAGCCATCCTGCTGCCCCGGGCTCCAAACCAAATTTTGGATGCAAATTTATTGGCATCATAAAGCCCAGGTTGATTTATGTGACAATCTGGAGCCACACACAGCAGTTGAGTCTGGTGGCTGTGTTCCCTCCACCTCCAAGCTGGAGTTGCCCCAGCCCCGGAGGGAGTTGGCCCAAGGTGACCGCATGGCTGATGCCAAGCTGGGGCCCTCCCCACTACCACTGTCTGGTTCCTTTGTTCCTCTATCTCCACCTGCTGTCCTTGAGGTCACCTTTTTCTACACCACCAGGCCTCTGCCACTGATAGCCAGGTAGGCTGGAGAAAATAGAAAACCCTAATAGCTAGATATTAGGGTGACGCTCACTATGGACATTAGACCTAGTCGGCTACAAGTTTTTCTGTCAACTTCGTGAGGTGGGCAGGTTAGGGCATGATTTCCATTTGCAGAGGGGCCTGGGGATCAGTGATGGCAGAGGATGCCAGCCCAGCGGGCCCCAGGCTCAGGAGTCTGAGGAGAAGACATTAGAGAAGACATTGCATCCTCCAGCAGTGTCGCCCACCTGGACTAGGCCCTGAGGGCTGGCAAGGTCAAGGTGGGAGTGGCGTTCTGCATTTTGCTCCCTGCGGAAGCACCAAGCCCAGCTGAGCCCTAGAGCCTGGTGCCAACTGGAGCCCTGGCTGTTCTTCCCCCGAGGCCTGGAGATGGGGCAGATGGCAGGTGACAGGCTGGGAGGCACTGCTGAGTGCTGGAAGGTGTTTGTGGGCACAGGGCCAGGCCCCAGGCCGCACAGCTGTGCTCACCAAACAGGGCAAGGAGCAGCCTCGGCAACAGGCTGATGCCAGAGCTTCTCTGCCTCCCGAGAAATCAGCACAGGGAGAGTGACTGGCAGTGCCAGGCCCAGGGAGGTAAAAGGCTGAGCCTCCAGCCTGCCCGGAATCAGTACCAAACAAGGCTCACTCCTATCGAGGGCCACAGAAAAGCTGGCTCTTAGAGACCGGGTCCAGGCTGCAGGAGAGCCCTGCCGTCTCCTCCTTCGGGCCGGCAGTGTCGACAGCGCACTGAAGAAGTAGCCTGTAAGGAGGGCATGCTGTATGCCGGGCGCGGCCTGCGCAAGCCTCCAGGGTCTCTTCTTCCTTCGTGAAGTGGGGCCACAGCACCTGTGCGCCTGACATACATGGGAATTCAAGGACTGAGCTTAGTGCATGGCACGCAAGAGCTCAATAAAGCTGTTTACTGGTGCTTATCTCCCGTCACTGGCCAGCCATGACTGTACTTGTAGCCCAGGACCTAGGACTCAATGAAGACTCCAGACACCTAAGTGATTTCATAGTCTCCAAATAAGAGGGGAATTGCAGCCACTGCCTGCTTCACTTCACAAGCAGGAAACTAATCAGAATTCAGGGGCTAGAAGGCTTTTGGAAAATGTGGATTGGCTGTAGTTCCCCAAACCCTTGGGAACTTGGACACCCCTCCCCTTTGAAAGAGCAAGCCAGAGCCAGGCATTGTGGTGCACACCTGTAATCCCAGCTAACTCAGGAGACTGACAGAAGGGTCATAAATTCAACACCCGCCCAGACAATTTAGTGAGGCCCTGTCTCGAAATCATAAAGGGCTAAGGACATAGCAGTCAGTGGTACAGTGCCCCTGTGTTCAATTCCCAACACGGGTGGCAGAGCAGGCCAAAGCAGGAGAGGCTGGGTCCAGGTAGAGGACATCATGCTGGCCCTTTTCTGACCTCTACCCCCTCTCCCCCAACCTAGCTCCTTGGGAAAAGCTGGAGCAGACACAAGATTTTGGCTAAAAGATGAGAGAAAAGAGCTAGGGGAGTAGCAGCAGGGAACCTGCTAAGACTATAAGATTATCCTACTGCCAGGGTAGTGCAGGGTCTCTCCCAGTGTCCTGCCAAAACAAACAATACCCTGGGTGCCCTGTTCTTCAGGCCCTTTAGGATGCTTTCACATCCATGACATCGCTTCCTTCTCCCCTGCTAGGCTCTCTGCCCCCCTCAGAGATTCAGGCTAGCCAGAGTGCCGTCTCTCTGGGAAGAAAGCCAGGACGCTCCGTCTCTGAACCACATCGGTGCCCTTCTTGCCTCTCCTTTGCCCAGGCTCGCCCCTCCCATCTATTCCTAGAGAAGGAACAAGGCAGCCGGCGCCTGGCCCAGTGAGAAGAAGCTGCAGTAGGCTCAGCTCCATATTGGGCTCTTAATTAGCTTTCCAGGGCTTGGTTATTAATTATCTTGGGCAGCAAGCGGAGCAGCCTAGACCTCATGACTCCTCCCAACCTCACCTGCTGCAGCTTCGCCCCAGAGCTGCCCTGCAAACCTGGCTCAGGGAGGATAAGGGCCTCAGGTTGAGGGCCTAGTGGCCAGCACTTAATCCTGCCATACTGTGACTGTGCCCAAGGTCAAGCTCCCTTCCAGAGCAGTGACCTCAGTGCTCACCAGGACTCTCACTCCCCACCTGTTGGGGAGCCTCTGATCCTGAACTTTGCTCCAGCCAAGAAAATTCATATGACCAAAAAGGTGAACTTGACTGCGATGGATGGGAGCCACCAGTTCTTGGGTCCATCAGACTCACCATGAATAGAGGTATAGCCCATACCACCATTTCATCCTCAAACTAAAGCATAAAAGTCCAGTTCTCATGACCTTCTGCTGAAAGGGGCTCCCAGCTTCTTGGGCACCAGCAAGGAGCTGTGGGAGAGGGCACTGGCCAGAGACTCCAGTGGTCTTTGCATTCAGCCCTCCTTCCCCTCGTCTATGTCACATGGAATTAATATCCACTCAGCTTTACCCCAACCTCCAGGGGGACCAGGCCTCAGCCTTACACCCTCAGCAGCTGGGGAAGGGTCTGACAATCACCGATGCACCTGTGGGTGTGGACTGGATGACCACACACAAGCCTCCTCACTTCACAGTTACCGTGGGGGACAGATTAGTTGCACACGTGAAAACATTGTGCACGTAAGCTAGAACTATCTTGTGGGCTGGTGCAGGGCCAGTGCCATGTGACAGCAAAAGAAGATTGGCCAGGAGCCCCGGCGGGAGGTCAGAGGGTTGAAACGATGGGTGGATTCTCCCTCCTGAGAAGTCCTGGCACCAGTGAGGCTGAGCTCACCCAACCCTAATGCTGCTTGGCAAAAATCCAGAGTCCCCTGGGCAAATGCAGCCAGTCAGGGCACAGGCCAGTCCCGCAGGCTCCCCACAGCAGACCTTCTACAGCCATTCCCACCTCGACAGTGGCAGGCTCCCAGAAGGTCCCTGGCAGGGAGTCACAGCCACAGCCACAGCACAAGCCTCCTTTTTGTAGGAGACTTGAGTGATGAACACCACGCCCAGGCTGAGCAAAAAAAAAAAAAAGTCACATCCAGCACTGGGGTGGGTGAACTGGCACTGAGTACCAAGTGGCTTCTGCTGCCTGGAGCGCCTTCCTCAGCTTCACCTCCCCACATCCCTCCCTCACACTCTTGAGTCTGTGTCTCCCCCAGAGGGACAGCTGGCCCACCTGGGATACTCCCATGATGCTCCTGGTGCCTACAGGCTATGGTGCCCCCTCTGGGGTGCAGAATGAGGCAGCCAGGACCAGTGATTGTAAAAGGCCAGTTTAATGTCCCAGAGGAAATTCCAGCTAGATGGAGGAAGAGGCAGGACGGTCTTGCCCCAACCCCAAGTTCCAGCCTCCACTTCCCCGGGCCAAGGCCACAGCAGCCGTGAGCAGGGACTGGCTCACATCAGGGCAGGAGCACCCTCCAGGGTCCTAGTCCTTCTCGCAGTGACTCAGGCTGGGTGGGCAGGACTTCTTATGATTATGGAGACAGCAATGGCCCAGCCCACTCTACGACCTGAGCCTACTGAGGTCATTTTGGTGGCTGTGGAACCATCGCCTGCCAATGGGATCCTGTGGCCGGGATTTCACAGTACAAGCCATAAGAGACCCAACTTGCCTGCCCCCTACCCTTGGCAGTGCCAGGCAGAGAATCCAGAGCAGCAGGAACAGGAGCACCTGGCACCTCACACTTCTGACTCCAGGCTGGAGATCCGCCTCCAGGTGCAAGGATCCTGGAAGCCTTGTGTGCCGTAGGCTCCCCTGCTGACCTCTTCCAACACCCCACTGTCCCTGTAGCCTGTGCTCAGCCCCTTGGTCCTGCCCCTGTGCGCTGGAGGGCCCCAGGCCTCAGTGAGCCAGGGACTTTGGCTGGCACAGGGTGGGAAGTGAGGGCAGACGTCCCCCCAGCAAAACGGTAGGTGGGCATGGGTGTGCAGGCAGATGTGCTGCCTAGGCTGCCAGGCCCAGGCCCCGGCGGGCACGCCCTCCCAGCAGCCCTCCCGGTGGGACAAGAACCGCATGGACTGTGCCTGTGCCGAGAGCCTGCAGGTCGGC